CTTCTGGGCAATGACGTTAACCTTCTGGAGTGCTTTCCTATCTGCCACTCTGCAGTTGGCAAACCATACAGAGATGCAGTAAGTTAAGATACTCTCTATGGTGCAGCAGTAGAAGGTCACCAGCAGTTTTTCATTCAGTTGTTGTTTTTTGAGAAGCCTCAGATAGTATAATCTCTTTTAAACAGTGCTGCAATGTGAGCACCCAGGTCAGATCCTCTTTTATGGTAACACCCAGAAACTGAAAACTGGCTACTTGCTCCACTCTCTCCATTGATAAGCAAGGGCTGGAGGTCTGATCTGTTCCTTCTATAGTCCACTATAAGCTCCTTGGTCTTATTGATGTTGAGGACCAAGTTATTGTCTCCACACTACAAAAGCAACCGGTCCACCTCCTCTTGATAAGCATGAACTGCTAAGTTGGTAGGAGTTGGATCAAAAATGGGAGCTCAACCTATCACATGGTTTTGAGTCTCAATGCCCACCTTTCAGGCAACAAGCCCAGTGACCTAACCATTAGGCCACCATATCTCTTCAAAAAGCCATGAGTGTAGCCACATATTCAGTTTTCCGTCTAGTTCAGAATCCTTTATCACCGCATCAGTCACCCCCCTCCCACAGTTATCTATATTTACACAATTATTTTTCTACTTTTGTGTTCCGACTTGAACTTGTGATTTTGTTCCACCTACTGATATCTATCTCATATATTGTTCACCCAGAGGAAAATCTCTTTACAAAACTTGAGCATCATTCTAAGCACCCTGGCAATGAATAGAGTAGAGTGGGGTAGGGTAGGGTAGGGGAGAGGAGAGGAGAATTATTTAGTGGCCAAGTATGATTAGATACACAAGGAATTTGTTGCCAGTTCATAAGCTCTCAGTGTACATACAACAATAGTGATAGGTCATTATCGTAGTCATTGTAAAAATACATTCATCATAAAACATTAGAAGAAGGGATATTGGAAATGGCCAGGGATATTCCAAACAGCAGCTCAGAACAAAAGTCACATTGAAGAAAGGATCGAGACAGAAGCTGACAAAAGCTATCTTCAAGCACTACACAAATACGTTAAGGTTTAATATTAGTGGACCAACTTACCTGGTCTAACAATCAGCCTGGTGCCTGATCCCCAAGTTGTCTTGTCGTTGTAACTCACAGTGTTACAGTCCCTAACAAAAACTCACTGATTTTTGCAAATGCTTTCAATACAGGCAGTAAACTTGCAGGATGGATTGACATTTTCTCACACAAATCACAAAATCGATGGATATAAATTGTGGTAGGGAAGGAAAAAAAAAACCTCTTGCACTGACCACAATCCAAGAAGTCTATTGCTTCCTCTTTAGCCCAAGAACCAAGGATTAAAACTTACTTGGCATTATGACCAGCCTAGTCCCACTTCCAAAGGTGACTTTATTGAAGTTAGTGGCACTCACAGTGTTTTCTGCCTTGAAAAAAACATACCTTCCTATTTCTATCAGTAATCACAACTTTGTTTTGAAAAGCTAAATATCTAGCTTTTAGGATTAAAAGATTGAGGATTATGGCTACAGGTCATCCTCAATTTAGTGTCACAATTGAGCCCAAAATTTCTGTTGCTAAGCAAGACACTTGTTAAGTGAATCTGATTTCTCTGTTGACTTTGCTCGTTGAAGTTTAGGAACTATGAAAAATGCCACGTATATCCCAAGAACACTGGTAAAGTCTTTTCCAATCAAATCCAATGATTTAATTTAATTTAATTTAAATTAAATTAATAGCTTCATTAAAGAACCCCCAAAATGCATCTATTTCAAAAAACTTATTTCCAAGAACTCTTAATCTTGTTTCATTCCCAAAGACATTCTTTTCCGTTTTGCTCATTATTTATCACAGTGAAACAGATCTTTTCATAAACTGTTATCAGCCTTGGAAGCCATATTTTACTTAGAAGCTTAGAGGCTGCCACATTTTAGTGCCTGGGAATTTGGGAGGGAGGATTTCATTGAGAGAAGAAAGATTAGACTCAACAACATTCTTCTCATAGAGTCAAGGACAAGTTACCCTGGAGAGGAGTGGCTGGAGCAATGTCTCTGGTTGGGACAATGCTTGATTGGACAATGTGATGGACTGATGGGTGAAGGGGATGGGTTTTGATTTTTCAATTGAGAAGGGAAGATCTGGAACTCTGAATACAAAAAGAAATCACTTTGGCAGAAAAACAAATCTGGTCACATTGCCAACTTTAAAAGTTGATATAAAAATTTATGCCACCATCGATAAAGACTGAATGCACCAATTATCACATTAAACAAGAAGAAAACCTTCTACGCATCAATTCCACCCACGCTTTCTACAATTTTGTAAATAACAAACTAAAAGACTCAAGGTCCATCCCACCCCTGAAAGGACCTAAAGGTAAAGACTGCAACGATGACACTATTAAAGCCAACCTCTTTAACAAATTCTTTGGCTCAGTATTTGTAAACAACAATGGATCATGCCCAGTATTTCCTAGTCGAACCACAGACAACTACAATGATCTACTACATATCACTTTTACAGAAGACAATGTTTTAAAATCACTAGGCAATCTAAAACTATCTCTATCTATTGGAACGGACAGAATATGTGCCTACTTCTTAAAAAAGCTATCCACTGCCATAGCGGAACCTCTAAGCATAATCTTTGAAAAAACTTTTAGGACCAGCTCCTTGCCAAAACTATGGTCACAAACCACGGTCATCCCCATCTTCAAAAAGGGAGACCCCAGCCTAGTTGAAAATTACAGACCAATCTCTTTATGCTCTGTCACCTGTAAAGTCATGGAATCAATTATTAACCAATCCATCATCCTCCACTTAGAAACAAACAACCTATTCTCAAATAAACAATTTGGTTTCAGGAAAAAAACTATCAGGTAATCTGCAACTCTTACACTGCAAAAACATATGGACTATACAACTTGATAAAGGCAAAGCAACAGACGCAATCTATATAGACTTCTGTAAAGCCTTTGATTCAGTGGTACACAACAAACTACTCCTAAAACTGAAATCTTATGGTATCTCTGGACACCTGAATAACTGGATAGAAGCATTCCTGTCAAACAGACAACAAATGGTCAAAATTGGGAGCGTCCTATCAAATTCCGTACCTATCAACAGCGATCATATCAAGAGCAACTGCGTTCTCTTCGCTGATGATGTAAAGTTATTCAACACCACAGACAATACTGCTACCCTTTAAAAAGACCTTGACTGTGCATCAGATTGGTCAAACAAATGGCAACTTCAAATCTCAACAAATAAATGCTCTGTCCTACGTATTGGCAAAAAATAATAATCAGAAAATAAAATACAGGCTGAATAATCAAGACCTTGTTGATGATCCAAATTCTGTCAAGGATCTTGGAGTATTCATCTCTAATGATCTAAGCGCTAGAGTCGACTGTAACTACATAGTTAAAAAGGTGCTAAGAGTTGTTAACCCAATCTTACATAGCTTTTTTTTCTGATAATATTACACTAATAACTAGAGCATATAAAACATTTGCTAGACCAATACTTGAATAGAGCTCATCAGTCTGGAACCCACATTACATATCTGATATTAACACAGTTGAGAAAGTCCAGAAATATTTCATAAGAGTTCTCCACTCCTCTACTAGTTGCAGAATACCTTATGCCACCAGACTCAAAATTCTAGACCTAGAAAATCTAGAACTATACTGCCTTTGGTCCCATCTAAGTATAGTATATAAATTCATACATTGTAATGTCCTACCTGTCAATACTTCAGCTTCAACCATAACAACACAAGAGCAAACAATAGATACAAACTCAAGGTTAATTGCGCCAAACTTGATTGCAGGAAATATGACTTCAGAAACAGAGTGGTCAGTGTCTGGTATACTCTACCTGACTCTGTGGTTTCTTCCAAACCACAAAAACTTTAACCTTAGACTGTCTACTATTGACGTCACCCCTTTCCTAAGAGGTCTGTAGGGGGCGTGCATAAGGGCACCAACGTGCCTACCATACCTGTCCTATTGTTCTTTTTTATTTTTATTTTTCTTATATGTATCCATGTATTCATAACTGTGTTTTTACTTATTCCTATTATCTTGTAAGCAATTAACAAAAATGAATGAATAAATAAAATAAATAGATTCGGGTTTTTGCAGATGAGCCAATATGATTTCTTCAATAAATTCTTACTTGGATGAACTTTGTTTCTTAGTGCTAAACAAAATGGGGAGTTTCATTGGAACACTGACACTTGTTTAGTTTAATGTGCTTCTAGTTCTTTGAGGATTAATCTTGTTGAAATCCAGTGATGCTTAATAAATGAACAATGTGTTGAAAATAGAGGACTTTAGAAACATCAGAATGTACTACTTCAACAGAGTCAGATCATTGGTTACTCCAGAGCAGAATGCTCAGTTGTTTTCTAAAGATCCAGGTAGTGTTTTCTACCTAAGAAATATTGGTTGTAGATCAACCATCAGCTCTCCAACATGAAAATACTTTTCTACTGAATTATGGATTTTATATTATCAAATAACTGATATTTACTTGTTAGCATGCAAATTTCATCCTATGATCCCTGCTTGCTTTTATCTCCTGGATAGGTGTTAACATATCTGAATATAAAAACCCTCTTCCTATATTTTTCTGATTGAATTTAAGAGATCAATTAGAAGTTGAAATGTTTGGCTGGGTCTGGATTTTTTTTCTAAGCTGTCTAACTTATTTGTTCAGAAACCACTCCCCCTGTAAATATACTGAATCACAGCTTTATTAAAAGAGCTAAGACTTCACTGCCTCCTGAAATTCAAGTTCTAATAGTTGTGAAAATACTTCTGGAAACTATCCAAGTCTAATGGACTAGTAATAATAGGATAAATGAATAAAAATAGATGGGGAAGGGAGGAAGGAAGGAAGCAAGGAGGGCGGGTGGGCGGGCGGGAGGGAGGGAGGAAAGAAGGGAGGAAGGAAGGAAGGAAGGAAACTTACTTGGCATGACGACCAGTCTAGTCCCACTTCCAAAGAAAATCTTATCATTTCCAGTGTTAGACACAGTGCTTTCTGCCTTCGCAAAAACATGACTTCCTATTTCTATCAGCCAGCATAACTCCCTTTAGAAAAGCTAAATGCCCAAGACTGACTTCTTGGAGATCAAAAGTTTCATTTGGACATCTGTACCTATCAAATGCTATCACTAGGGCTCTAGTTTCTTTTTCAGAGGTTTTCAATGGCCACTCCCTGCCATTTTCTATCCCATATTTTAAAGGATTTCCAGATGCTTATTGGCTCATTCAATTTGTTCAGGAAACACTCCTATAGGTTTTTTTTTGGGGGGGCTTCTTCCTCCCCCCCCCCCCCCCCCTCCCTTCCTCTCTCCCTCTCCTTCCTCCTTCCCTCCCTCCCTCCCTATTTCCCTCTCCCCCTCTCTCCCCCTCTATCTCCTCTCTTCCGCCCTTCTCCCTCCTTGCCCTCCATCTCCTCTCTCCTGCCCTTCCTCTCCCTCCCCCCTCTCTGCCTTCCTCTTTCTCTTCTCTTTCCTTCCCTCCTTCTCTCCTTTCCCTCTCCCTCACTTCCTCTCTGCCTCTCCATCATCCCTCCTCTCTCTCTCCTCCCTACCTCTCTCCCTCTCTTCTCTCCCTCCCTTCCATTCTCTCTCCTCCCTCCCTCCCCCTCTCTGCCCCCCTCTTCATCTCCTCCCTCCCTCCTTCTCTCCCTTTCCCTCTTCCTCTTCTTTCTTCCCTAACTGCCTCCCTTCCTCTCTCCCTTTCCCTTCTTCTCTCTCTCATCTTTCCCGCCCTCCTCTCTCTCCCCCAATCTCATAGTCTAAGAAAAGACATTTCAGGACATTTATGACAGTTTACATTTTTTGTATTTGAAATTGCCCTGAATGCCTAGCCTTAAATTTTGCAAATAGTATCACTTCCTTGGGACTTTGGCCTAGGAAAGACCTATTTTAAACGTGAACAGGGGAGAGAAATGCACTGGACAGACTTACAGGGTAAGATCTGAAGCTTTCCCCAAATCCAACATTAACCCTGGTTCTGTCATTTGCATGATAGCCTTTCCTCGAACATCAAGACTTGCAGGGATACAACTGGGACCATCCCCACCCAGAGAAAGTCCTTTGCAAAAAGACAGATCAAGGATGAGGTGAAGTTCCCAATGATTTCCCAGCTCATCTGGTTGGGTTTGCAACTGTGATACAAACAATTCAACATTGTCCAATGAACAGCAAGACCCTGGATCTGTTATAATAACAGCAGCCACACTTACATCTTCATAATCACATAATTGCTTTCTCATCAAATAGCTCCATAATTAAAATATAAACTTGTGCCTTTGAAACTTCTAGTTCAAATATGACTTGGAATAAGGTCAACCTACTTCTCTTACACCTAACTTTGTCCACCCACCCCCCCAAAATCAGGATACTAAAAACTACAAGAATAACATCTCATTCTACTAAGTACTGAACTACCAACAGTGAAACTGTCCAGTTTCTCCTTAATTCTAAGTGCAAAATCCACTATTTTAAGAGTTGTACATGTGTGCAAACTCACATGCATTTTGATATATTTGTTCTCTTGGCACGCACCAGGATTCACATTCTAACTCACCCGATTCCCTAATGGGACTGGTGGCTACTGGAATTTGGTTTGAAATTATCCCTTTGCAAAAATGACAGATGGAAGTCTATGGAGATTCTCAGTCATCCAGGTCATGGCTTTCCCTTTTTCAAGAGGCAACTTCATAAATGCATCAGGTTCAACAGTCCACCTGCATTTAAAAGACACTGGCCACTCTTTTGAGGACCACTAAGTGCACATTTTAGACAGAGAGAGCTGGTGTGAACAAGGATCAATGAGGCCATCTATGTCAAAATTGAGCAGCCCTCTCTCAACAGGAGGAGGGATACATCATCTATCTCCATTCTACAACACAGTCCTTTCAAGTTCCAAGAAGGCTCCACATTTGCATTACTCAGGTGACTCTGATGCCACAGATAAATCTCCAAGTAGCCTCAACAACTCTCTAAATGAATGCAAATGATCAACTGTTTGCAAGGAATATAAATCCTTCCATTCCCCACCATCCAGTCAGAGCTGAAGAAGCTTTTTGAATGAGAAGCAAAACATCTTCAAAGAAAAACCAGAAAGTCCAGTTGCCTCTTGGAAAAAAAAGAACTTTTGGGATATGACAGATGGAAACTATTCTGTGTTTCTTGCTCTGTCCTTTGTCCCATTGTCAGCTGCACATCGCCATTTGTATAAACCGCTCAACCATTCGAGCTGTAAAGAAAATCCATCTCTTAAAATTTTGACATGGTTCTTCAGTTTAAGTTATTTGCTGAGAAGGATTCACAAACTGGAATTGAATATTTTAATCCTTTGTCGGTCGTAATACATGGTTAGAATTAAAGTACAGGTAGCTCTTGCCTTACAACAGTTTGCGTAGTCAGCATTCAGTGTTACAATGGCATTGGAGAAGGTGACTTATGACCGTTTTTTCACAGTTACAACCTTTGTGGCATCCTCATGGTCACATGATCCAAATTCATACATTTGGCAACTGGTTCATATTTATGACCATTGCTGGGTCCCGGGTTCATGTTATCTCTTTTTGCGACCTTCTGACAAGCAAAATCAATGGGGAAGCCAGATTCACTTAACAACCATGTTGCTAACTTATCAACTGCAGGGATTCACTTAACAATAGCGGCAAGAAAGGATGCAAAATAGAGTAAAACTCACTTAACAACAGGAATTTGGAACTCAGTTACAGTCATAGGTCAAGGATTACCTTCCTGCCAAGCAGTTCTGAATATCTTTAAAATCCATTCTTTTTGTCTCCCTTCTTCATTGTTTCACAATTATTCCCTTTCATTTTCAATTATTTTAGGCAAAGTTTTCTATGAGATCCTACCATAATTCAAACATAGGATATAGGCAAGACCTACCTGCTTTTACTGTTAATTCTGTTCCTTTTCCAAACTGAACAAGGAACTTCCTATTTGTTAATACCACTGTCAGTGAAGGCTTTACAAAATTGTACGCCTCTGCTATCACAACTGGATCCCTTCTGGGTTTTTTTTTTTTTTTGTCTTCCTTCAGATTTTGAGTTTAAGACTATATAATTTGGGACAGAACTACAGGTAGTCTTTGTTTAACTATCACAACTGAGACTGGTGATTCAGTCATTAACTGAAGCAGTAGCAAAATGAAACCATAACTGGGCTTATGATTTTACTTCAGGTTTTCCTTTGCTTTACAAATCTGCCCAGGTCATAAATGGTGGGAAGGGATTGTAAAGTTATTTTTTTCTTCACTGTTGTAACTGCCAGGGGTCACTAAATGAGGCAGCCACTAATTGGGGACTTCCTGTAAATCTAGTCATTTTAAGAACAAGTTTAATAAAATAACAATGCTTAACTTACTGTTTTTATTCTAATTATCATTGAATTGAATTGTTAAACTGTTGAATTGTTGAATTATTGAATTGTCGAATTCATGACATCCATAGAGATCAAACAACGAAGATGGTAGCCATAACTTTTCAATAGAATCTCATCTCAATTTATGTGTGCCATATGCATATAAAATCTAAACATACCTATAAAGGTGGAGAGTGCTTGATTTCACAATGACACTTTCACATTTACAATCTCTTCTCTTTTTTTTGATCCTGCCCATTTATTCATCTTGCTTTGAGTCATACAGGATAATTTAGCTAAAGTTAATTACCACTATTTTTTTAGAAGATTAAGAAGATATTCTTTCCTTGATACTGTAAAGAAGAGAGGAATCCAGGTTCCTATATCTTTTTCTCTCTCTTTTGTACTTTTCTGTTATTCTTTTCCTTGACAAGCTAAGACTGTCCAATGATTAAACATTATTCTTTTGAAAACATAAAGTAATAATTAAGACATTAAATGTTGGTGGCTTTTAACTATGAAAATATATTGGTTTCAGGAGGGTTATGACACCTATTAATAGATAGAACTAATCAACGGTTATGTCCTTTTTATAACAAGTTTTGATCTCTGTCACTCATTTCCCTGTTACAAATTTTATGGAAAAGAAAGAAATATCTATTTTTCTTTCAATAAGAACATTCTAAATAAAATGTGGAGCGGAAGTATCCTAATTCAATACAACTGTAAGGGAATAAATAAAAGTTGTTCCAGAATAGAGGAAATGGCTTAAATATAGAATTATTCTAATTAAATCAACTTCAGGATTTGATCTTTTATCTATTGTTTCTTCTGGAGGAAAGAGAAAGAGACAACATGGAAAGAGGACTGTGGCAAATTATCTGTCAAGCCAATGGAATGATGGTTCCTGAAATGTGTAATATTTGGAGTAACCGTACATCTTATTATGCCAATTCCTAATTGGTTTAAAAATAAAATGAATGCAATTAATTAGATCAAGATTCCATAAATCAAATATAATTAATAATCAAGGACTCTGACTCACTGACTCTAAAATTTCCTCCATCTCTTCTGCCTTATGTCCAACCAATATATTATACCACTTTTGCAAATACAAATACACAGGTCAAATGACACCATGACAATTCAAAGTTTGCCCTTGATATGAATTGATAGTTTTCTTTATCTGTTTATTGCTTCACATATATTATAGAGCCTCAACCTAATGGGCTCTAATTAGTTTGTGTTCTTGCCAAGAAATGTCTACATCGTATTTGATGGAGTTCTGAGAATTTAAATCCACAAGACATCCCAAATGTGCAAAACCCTAATTCTAAGGAAAACAAACAAGGCTAAGAAGACAAGGAGTATTGAGATGGAAGAAGCACATTTTCTCAAAGTAGTAGAAAGTAATAAAAGCCTCATTTAATTGGATCTCAATCAACTTCAACCTGGGACCACCAGCTGAATGGGCTGGGGAGTCTTATCTGGTAATTCCCATCTAATAGCCTATGTGGACGAAACCAGGTTAGAGAAGATACTCACAGATAAGGACACCTCACTGAATTCGGTACAACTTGCTCTCAAGTAGTTGTACATTGGATTGTAGTTGAGGTCCTTGAACGTCTTGTAAGTGTTCTTCTCCACTCAACTCTCTGCAAGTTTTTGATCTGTTTCTCTTCTGCTCCTTCCCACTGTGTTTCTCACAGCACAGAAGTAGATAGCTGAATCATTCAGTTGGCTGACTGATTTCTTCATGTGGAAACTCATTCCCACTTTATTATGGATGGCGGTGAAGTTTTGAGGGAGGCTTATGTGTACATTAGGTGTCAAAAAAGTGCTCTGAAAAAGCTTAGGTGGTTGTCCAAGATATTGAATGTACCAGAATGGACTTGGTTGATAATCTATGCTTTTGGAATAAGTGCAATTGAGAAATATAGGTTGTCCTTCTGTGAAGGTCATCGTGCCTTCTGTTTGGGTCACGGTCTGTCCTGAAATATTTTCTGTAGGGAAAAAATAATAATGGATATGGTTGGTGGAATAGGTGACTCTTTATTAAAGTTGATTTTTATAGCATCTGAAAATCTGTAGAACAATTTTGTTTTACATAGTAGCTCCACACAATGTGAATATATATTTGATTGTTTATTTTATAGACCCCCTATCTCATTATCCAAAGTGACCTGGACCACTTACAATGCCCAAATTGTTCTTCTCCCCAGCAGACAACATAAGTCACCTTACATGAATATTCTTAGATCCTTGTGGGAAATGCCATGAATCATATCCACTCATAAATTCAGAGCAGAATAACAGATTAACAGTTGGAAGGGACTCAATAAAAATATGTAAGCACTAGGCTTATTTATATACTTTTTAAAGAGGTGTCTGGATGGGGGCGGGCAGAGAGAGAATAAAATTTCTTCACTTACCTAAAATTAAGAGCACCAATGACCATGAAAGAAACATCTTGCTTGATCTAGCAGAGAAGAAGTTAAGAGATGCAGAAGCAAAGCGAAGCAACCTAATTTCATTGGCCTCTGAGATTTGCACTATGAAACTTATGTAATGCAGCTAAACTTTTTTTTGTTAAGCAATTCAAAAGAAATCTTCTAATGGTTGAACCTCATAGGATGTGGTTAGTGGCCAGAATGCTTCTGTGAGCTGTAGAAAAATTTCCATTTTACATTTATATAGTAACTAGTTCACCCTATGAGTGGAAAAAACCTGACAACTACACCTTGTGCTTAAAAATGACATAGCATCATGAATTTCAAGCCAGAAGTGATGAAGCTATTGAAACATCCCTCATTTTTCACTGGGTGCTTTGACTACCAAACAGAGTTTTGTACCTGGAAAGATGGACTTTTGATACTGAAGCATGGATCTTTTCTTTAGAAGGTCAAACTTCATAATTCAAGATGTTCCAGGAGGTAAGCACCATTTATATCATATTTAGATCCTCAAAAAGGTATGAAAAAGTCCATACATATATCAAAGATTGGAAAAGTCCAGTCAACTAGGCAACACCAAGACAAGAACTAAAACTGAGAGTCCCTGGTACCATTTTTAAAGCATTTAAGGAAAAGAGATGGAAGGCACAAATCTTGGCTGCTGAATGTAGTATGTGGATGTTCCCTTAAGTGAAGAAAGCCTGGGTGGAGAAGCAGAGAATGAAAACCTACAGGAATGGCACCAAAGTTGAGACTAAAATTGCAGTCTACTTCTCAGAATAATATACTAACAGAGTTGGAAGTGACCTTGAAGGTCTTCTACTCCAACCCACTGGTCAAGCAGGAAATTATGTACCATTTCAGACAAATGTCTGTCTAATTTCTTTTTAAAAGCTTCCAGTGTTGGAACATTTACAACTTCTGGAGGCAAGCCGTTCCACTAATTAATTTTTCTAAACCATTAGGAAATTTCTCCTTAATTCTAAATTGCTAAATTCTAAATTCCTTTCCTCCTCCCTCTTCCCTTCCCTTCCCTTCTTCCTTCTCTCCATGCTTCCCTCTCTCCCCTCCCTCCCTCTCTCCCTCCCTCACTCCTTCCTTCCTTCCTTCCTTCCTTCCTTCCTTCCTTCCTTCCTTCCTTCCTCTCTTTCTTCCTTTATTTTTGGTATGTTTAATTAGGGGATTACCAAAAATGCCACAATATGGAATTGGAATTAACTGCTAAGGAAATAAGTAACAGATAACAGATAATCAGAGTTGGAAGGGACTTGTAGGTCATCTAGTCCAACCCCCTGCCTAAGTGGGAGACCTTACACCATTTCTGAAAAATGGCAGTCTAATCTCTTCTTGAAAGTCTCAAGTGATGGATCACCCACAACTTTCGAGGGCAAGTTGTTCCATTGGTTGATTGTTCTCACAGTCAGAAAGTTTCTCCTTATATCCAGGTTAAATCTCCCCTTGTTCAGTTTCCACCCATTATTCCTTGTCTGGCCTACAGACACTTTAGAAAATAGCTTGACCCCTTCCTCCCTGTGGCAGCCACTCAAATATTGGAAGACTGCTATCATTTCAATTCACTACCCTTTCAATCATCTGAGCAAAAGTGCTTACTGGCGCATTACAATTCAGATAATTGATATTAATGCAATAAATATTGTTGAAAATACTGTGATTATTATTTCCTAAAATGATTTGTACCCAGACAACACACTGTTCAATTGAAATTGGAATTTTTTTGTGTTATAAAATAAAAAAGTATTACAAAAAATATTGAGATGTGTGCCTTCACACCTGCCTTTTTTCCTGTCTCTGGAGGCAGCTGTATTGCAAGAAAGGGTTCTTGTTAAAGAGACTCACTAGGCTGTGACACAGTGTCTCCTAGAGCACAAAAATAGAATGCCTGGTCCTCAACAGCAACGTTGGTGAAGGAGAAAGTGCTATTTTTTCGATTTTGAGCAACAACTAAGGAAACTCGCTCTTCTGCGATGCTTTTTGATGGTTCTTGGTATCCTCTTACAATGAAATGAGGAGGCTGGCTGGGGAATTGTCGGTACCAAAAGATGTATTCATTGGTTTGAATATTTGGGTGGGTGCAAAAAAGATCAGTTTTATTTCCATTGAATGCTTCTAGCAGAGGTTCCTGGATAGGATTTTTAGTGTGGCAGAGAAGGTTTCCTGTAAAATGAAACACAGAAAAGAAATAGGGAATCAACACGTGTGGTCCCTGATGAAATTGTTGGAAGTTCATGGATCAGAGATACCTCTTGGATATCATTACATAAAAAGTGATGAGCAGAAGACCTAGCTATCTGAAGGGTTGATGGGTTCTGCCTAAGTGGAGGAATCAACTGGGAACCAAAAGGGTTGACAGAGATGATCTATTCAATTCCTGTGCTGTGCAAAGTTTAGAGCAGCGACCACCAAAATTTTGGGCCCAGGGACTGGTTCCATGGAGAGAGGTTTTTCTATGGAGCAAGCAAAGGGGATATGGTTTCACGAGCTGCCTGCATCCCATGGATGTGACCCAGTCTCTGGCATGCCACAGACCAGTGCCAGTTCATGGACTGGGGGTTGGGAACCTCCAGACTGGAGGACCTCCAAACTGACTTTCTATTTTATCTTCTCTATAATTTCAAATTTTTAAAAAAACAAAGGTGTCTTGCCCTAAAAATAGGTAAAGGTAAAGGTTTCCCTTGCACACACGTGTTAGTCATTTCCAGTTCTAGGAGTTGGTGCTTATCTCCATTACAAAACTGAAGAGCCAGTGCTGTCTGAAGATGTCTCCGTGATCATGAAGCCGGCATGACTAAATGCTGAAAGCGCACAGAGCGCTACTACCTTCCCACCAAAGTGGTCCCTATTTCTCTACTTGCATTTTTACATGCTTTCGAACTGCTAGGCTGGCAGAAGCTGGGACAAGTAACAGGAAGTCACTCTGTTATATGGTGTAAGGGATTTGAACTGCTGAACTGCCAATCTTTCTGATCGACAAGCTCAGCGACTTAGCCACTGAGCCACCACATCCCTAAAAATATCACTACCTTATTTAGTTTAGTTTAGTTTATTGCCATTGCACCTCATACAATGAAATTAAATACCATCTTCAGTGTACATTATGACCATGAAAATAAACACAAACACACATCCTTCACATTATCTCTCTCCTGGAAGCATTTAAGGAGAAATATCATCTAATAAGTAGAAACTGAGTTTCATAAACAGTCAATGTTTTCTAGTCCTTCCACTCAAATTCTATTGTTGAACTGAAATTGTTGATCATTATATAGCTTGAGAGGAAGTTGATTGCAATGGAATATTTCTGGGCACGTGATTAGGAGAATTCTCCATCTGTTTCATCTTTTGCAAGGAAGACAATTGTAAACGTCAATGTGGTTTGTTGTCTAAGTTCTTGCACTAAGGATGGAAAAACTCATGCTGAAGTCCTCACTTCAGTTTTGGCTTAGGGTTAGGGTTCTGGGGGAACATAGGTTAGTCTTGCTTTCTCAGACAATATTGTTTTGGGGAGTGCAAAATGAGGAGATGTCCTGTGTAAGACACCCTCAGTTCTTGGAAGGAAGGCAAAGCACAAGGAATAAAAATGAATACAAAATGTAAAACCTTAAGCTGAGCCAAGGAGGAAAGTCTTGGGGAAACAAGAAAGAAACCAGACCTAGAAAGAAAAGCAGATAAAGATGATCCAAACAGTAGGAAATGATATCTTAAACATTACTTACTTGATATGAGAACCAATAATGTTAGCGAGAAGGATGCCAAATTCATGGTAAGGAATTGAAACATCTCAGTGTAGAGAAAGCAGGTTGTATCTTGTCTAAACAGTGAACCCTTGCAAGAAAATCTCTTGCCTTCTCTCTGTTGTGTTTTTCTGAGTGTTTCAGCACACAGTCCTGTGACTGTTTCATTGGCTGTCAATTATATGAATCCACTCCCCACACTGGTAGGAGAGTCAAATTTGAGAAGGCAATGTAGGGTTCATTATGATGAAACACAAAAACCAGCCTATCAGGAAAGATGGCAGGTGTTCTTACTGCTTGGAAGAAAGACAACCACAGTTTGTTTGCCACAGTCTTCTCTCAAACATGGTACTTTACTGAATAGCAGTGGTGCTCACAGGGGTGTCAGAAGAACACAAGGTAGGTTTTGACGCATTTTTTTGAACATTCTTATAGACACCATACTTCTGGATTGGTGGTTCAACAGGATGGTTGCTCATAAGGGAAACCAAATAAAGTTTTCCCAGAAGCTAGAATGAACTCCTTAAGGAAAGGGTGGGCAAGAGAACCATCAATTGTAACAAAAATGGTTGAGATTGAACATATTTATGTATTCTCTAGGTTTGTCAAGATCCCAATGCTTGAAATTCTAGCCAGTGAAATACAATTGGCAGGAGAAGAAGCAATGTATGGAAACCAATCAAGGAGAGAAGTGACCTAGAACTAAGGAGAAACTTCCTAACAGTGAGGATAATTGACAATTAACCAGTGGAATAGCTCACCTTCAGAAGTTGCATATGCTTCCATACTGGAAGTGTTTAAGAAGAGACTGGACAGTCACTTTTCTGAAATGCTATAAGCTCACCTGCTTGAACTGGACTAGAAGACCACCAAGGTCCCTTCCAGCTCTATTCTCCGATTTCCTTTCATAGACTGAATGGCATAGAGATTATATTATTATCATTCCTTCTCAATAATTATCTTATCTTGAGAATTCTTTTTTAAGAATCACATTTAAAAAAAAAACACAAGACATAAAATTTGAATTGATGTGATAGCAGTTATAGTATTATTATTGTTGTTATTATTATTGTTTTCACAAAGACTTATCAATGAATTGTGTATACTTTTAATTAGCACACTTAGGGAAGATCAAAATAGGATAATTTGGAAAAAGTGCAGAGAAGAGCAACCAAAATGAATAAAGGTCTAGAGATGAAAACATGAAGAAAGGGTTGCAGGAACTGGATATGGCCAGTCTAGGGAAAAGAGGGACTGTGGGGGTGGGGGTGGGGGTGATAGCAGTATTCCTGTATTTCAAGGACTGCTACAAAGATGAGGGGGGTCAACTTATTTTCCAATGGCAAGACAAGAAATAATGAATGGAAACTATCAAGGAGCTAAGCAAAATGGAATTAGTTTATTTTATTTATTTTATTTGGTTTGTCAATTGCTTGCAAGATAATAGGTATAAGTAAAAACATAGTTATGATTACACAGATGCATATAAGCAAAATAAAAGAAACAATAGGACAGAGATGGTAGGCATGTTGGTGCGCTTATGTATCCCCCTACAAACCTCTTAGGAAAGGTGTGAGGTCAATAGTGGACAGTCTAAGGTTAAAGTGTTTGGAGTTTGGGGAAGAAACCACAGAGTCAAGTAGAATATGCCAGACATTGACCACTCTGTTGCTGAAGTCGTATTTCCTGCAATCAAGTTTGGTGCGATTAACCTTGAGTTTTTATCTATTGTTTGCTCTTGTATTGTTATGGTTGAAGCTGAAGTATTCATTGACAGGTAGGTCATTGCAATGTATGAATTTATATACTATACTTAGATCAGACCGAAGGCGGCATAGTTCTAGCTTTTCTAGGTCTAGAATTTTGAGCCTGGGGGCATAAGGTATTCTGCTAATGAGTATAGGAGTGGAGAACTCTTCTTGTGAAATATTTCTGGACTTTCTCAACTGTGTTAATATCAGATATGTAATGTGGGTTCCAGACTGATGAGCTGTATTCGAGTATTGGTCTAGCAAATATTTTGTATGCTCTAGTTAGTAGTGTAATATTACCAGAGAAAAAGCTACGTAAGATAAGGTTAACAACTCTTAATGCCTTTTTGACTATGTAGTTATAGTGGGCTCTAGCACTTAGATCACTAGAGATGAGTACCCCAAGATCCTTGACAGAGTTTGGATCATGAACAAGGTGTTGACTATTCAGCCTGTATTTTATTTTCTGATTTTTTTTGCCAATATGTAAGACAGAGCGTTTGTTTGTTGAGATTTGAAGTTGCCATTTGTTTGACCATTCTGATACATAGTCGAGGTCTTTTTGAAAGGTAGCAGTATTGTCTATGGTGTTGAATAGCTTTACATCATCAGCGAAGAGAACACAGTTGCTCTTAATATGGCCACAGAGGTATATGTAGAGGTTTATGTAGAGTATGAAGAGAGTTGGTCCTGAAACACTTCCTTGGGGGACACCTCTGTTGACAGGTACAGAATTTGATAGGACGCTCCAAATTTTGACCATTTGTTGTCTGTTTGACAAGAATGCTTCTATCCAGTTATGTAGGTGTCCACAGATACAATAAGATTTTTCAAGGCTTCAGCAGCAGCAGGGATTTGCAATTCTGGGTGATCCCTGCTGCGCTCACTGCTGAGGTGCCCCCGATCCAGGTGGATTTGGGGGATATAGCTGCCCCGTAAAGGCAACTGAAGACAGGGGGGATCTGGACAGGGTTTGGGGTGTTGCAGACCCCCTCCCCAGCTGGCAAACCCCCCTTTTCCCAAGGCGGTGGAGCGGCGGTCAGCAATGGCCGCCACAAAGAAGGCTGCAGCTGAATAAGAAAGTGCAGGAGGAAGAAAGTGAAAGTTTTTTCTTTGGCTGAGCCGGGACAAAGAGGAGCCCTTAAAACCTGGAATTTGCCTTTCTATTGCTATATTGTTCCCAGAAAGACTGTGTAAGCAGCAGGAGAAAGTGAACGGGAAAGTTATTTCTTTTCACTCTCCTTCCCTATGGAAGTAGCTGATGGAAATCTGGAAAACCTGCTTGGGCTAAGAAGGTAAATAAACCTAAAAATTAAAGCCAAGGGGATAAAAGATTTTGGAACATTGGAATTAAAAATTAAAAGTTTATTGCTATAAGTGGGAAGGAAGAGGTAAAAAAAAATTATCCTAAGACTTTATTGAAGAAGACTGCTTGAAGTTTATAAGATTAGAAATTAATGACAATAAGGCTTCTAAAAAATTATTTTGAAACAGTCTAATTGAATTTTACCCCAGGAGGAAGGGGAAAAAAAAAGAAGAAGAAAGTGATAATGGAACAGTCTGTTTTGTTTTGGATTGCTTTGTGACTTTGTGGCTTTTGGGGAACTATTTCTTGAAAGACTAGAAACATTTGGGTTGCTCTTTTTTATAATAATAATAATAATAATAATAATAATAATAATAATAATAATAATAATAATAATAATAATAATAATAATATGGCATTATCTGTGCAAGAATTACAAATGGAATGTCAAAAGCTACAACAAGATAAACAAGAAGGCAAGGACTCTCTAGGATCTATCTTTTGTTTTTTGGAAATGGCGATTTCTACTTACCAAGAAATACAGGAACAAGAGGATTGGGATGAAGAAGGAGAAGCCATCTTTAATGGTCAATACATTCAAGAGGAAGTATTTAATGGACAAAAAATTATAGCTGAAAAGAATCAGGGGGGAAAGAAAATGCAGAATTCAGAACCTAAAAAAGCAACCAAGAAAGGGGAAAATAAGATGAAAAATTGATACAATGCCAGAAAGGAACAGAAAAGAGAAACACTACAGAGAGGGAAAATCAAAAAAGTGGAATTTGAGAGATGGGGGGTGGTTTAAAAAGACTAGAATTGATAAGAAAGGAAGGGAAAAAGGGAAGAGAAGCCATAAAGGTTTAAAACAAGATATTAAAAAAAAGTTTTTTTTCAGAGACAAAGGGTAAATTATAATTTAATATATGATTCTGCAAAAGTATATAAGATTGTATTGTAGATATTAGTACTTGAAATTGAGTTAGAAAATTGAATTATGAGTTAATAATGTATTAAAAGGAATATACAAAATGTTTAAAAGTAAGAGTTTATTTCTCTATGGAATATTGTTTTGATTATACTATAAATTCAATCCCTTTTTTATTCAAAAAAAATGTAATACTTTGTGCTAAGCAGAACCAGTATGGAAAGTATGTATTATTTCAAGTGTCAAATTTAGGGGAAAGATAAAAAGTTGTCATACTTCAACCAGTGATTACAGGAGAATTATTGTATTAGAAAGTAAAGATAAATAGATAATTGAAGAGAACAGACAAAAGATACAAGTATAATTATCTAAAATGAGATAAAATAAATATAATAGAATTATGAGAGTGAATAGAGGAGAGAAAATATATAGAAAATACAGCATGTTAATTAAGATATGAAACAGTATATAAAGTGAGTATGAATTTGATTTATGTCTGCATAAAAAGAGGTAACCCGGGGTAAGCCACTTTCCAAAAGTAGTTTTAGGTATTTATGTTTTGTGTTTTGTACGTCTACGTTTGAATTAATAAAATTTTAGAAGAATGTAAGAAGAATGTTGGAAGAGAATAATGAAATTGTAAATAAGACAGATGGATATAAAAAATGTATACAATCTAAAGTAAAAGAAATATAATTTGAATAAATAGAAGGAAAGGGAGTAATAAAGAGAAGTTGGGATAAGATATGAAGTTGAACAGATAAGGTAAATATATATATATTAAATTGTGTTAATATGGAAATGTGATAATTTGGAATTATTCTGTCTTTAAATAAGATGTCTTATTGGTTTCTTCAGAAAAAGATCTCTTGTGTTATTATACCCTATGCTTTGTTTGTCTGTATATTGTTTTGTAAAATTAATAAAATTTGTTTAAAAAAAAAGATTTTAATTTTAGGAGTAGTTTGTCGTGTACCACAGAATCAAGGGCTTTGCAGAAGTCTATAGATTGTGTCTATTGCTTTGCCCTGATCGAGTTGTGTAGTCCATATGTTTTTG